ATTATATATATATATATATATATATATATAGTATATTGTTAATATAAAGGTAAACCTTATAACCATATTACTCTGGGAAAGTTATACCAACCCTTGTAATGATCCGATAAGAAATATCAGAATCAACATTTATTATCCATGTTCACTTGAATTAACAGGGGAAATGAATAGATAGTAGAGTCAACTTACATAACAGCATATTGTTATGGAATATATAGGTAACTTGGTCAGCGTAAAGTGCACAGCCTTCTTTATGTTCATGGCGCAAATATCCAGTTAGGGTTACAATTTAATATTAAGGATAAGGACTAGTAGTTAGGGTTGGGGTTTAAATCACTAACTAACATCAGCTTTAACTCCTAGGTAATAATATCGATACCCTGATCGTAATTCTTAGTATAAAAAGCTATGTGATTACTTTGTGTGTAGTCGGATTGCCTAAAAAGACGCTTACATCGTTTGGATGCATATTTGACCCCTACCACCGGCTGTTATATCCGTAGACGAACATGAAACAGGTTGTATATCGCGTATTAGTTGCATGAAAATCGATAGACTCCGTTGTTGAAATATGGTGCAGATATTGAAAAATTAGACGCCATATAACTGTAGTTACTAATGGTTAACTAAAGGGATAGAATTTAGCTGGTTGACTAAATTATCTATGAAGCTTTCGGCCAAGATTTTGAACATATTCGACATCCGTGTATTATGGTTAATGATACTAATCCCACTTATCAAAGTCCCTTTTGATTTGTTTATTGATTTCCGAACTTTCGTCGAAATAGTGATTGCCACAATTTTGCCGCATGTCAGACAACTTGAAAGTAGGATGTTCCGAGAACATTCAAACATTTATCTTGTGAGTATATGTTTCTGTTCTCTGTACCGTTCATTTTCCTTTATTTCATACTGATAAAAAATAGATCATAAGTGTAAAACTTCGTAGTCACTGAAAAAATGTCCCATACATCTCAGTCAGTGGACCATTGGTGTCACTTTCATCCCTGTCTTATGTACTGAATAATAATATTGGAGCTTCCTAACGACCAACATCTCGCCATTGCTAGTAACTGATAAATCAGTCTCTAGAAAGTGAAAGAGTTTGATGTGCATGAGCTCTTTCCGTTTCAAGGATAGTTAGACCTAATTATTAATCTTCATAAGATAAAATCAAAACTTGACTTGTAATTTCATGAAACGTCTTGAACGGAAATGTCAATGGATAATACACACATTGTGCCAGAAAACACTACACATGAGACCCAAGTGACCTTCAACCAAATTGTAGGATCTCATGACGTTGTCTGTTTTACTATCGCCTACGATCATGTTTTTAAAAATTTCTACAGATATGACTATTGACCAATCGTTTGAAAGCACTTATATTTTGGTGGGATTAATCTATAAAAAAATCTACGATGCTCAACTTTTTCGATGTAAATAAAAAATCTCAATATAAATAAAATTAGGTACATTTTATGCCTGCATTTTTCAGCCTACAAATTCTTACAATAATTATCATTGCCGACCAATCCGATTTAATAAAGCTAGCAACAACTACGGGCTAATTATTGCAACAAGATAAATGACTGGATTTTTTGGAACAACTAACTGGTTTAGTTATGTAGGACAACTGTATTTAAATTGACAATATAGTTGAAGTTAAAATGCTTTTATTTTCTTAAAAATCCTAAGGTTTTTATTATCTATATTTTTCTAGATTCAATGTTATTTCAGCTACATACTACTACCTATATTAAAAGTCCTTAAATAGTTTAACAATTCAAATTACTAATGGGGTTATCTGACTGTTAACATTCACGTAAATATTATTTGTTAATTATACTTTTCACTAAATTTAGTAGTGATAAATGTAACCATAACGTTGCAAAGGCACTGATACAACATAGTTTATAGTACCATGATTTTTTTTCAAATACTTATCCTTAATCCATCACTGATGATGAAGACGTTTAAACAGTGTCGAAAGTTCATATCAAGTAAACTTGACAAGATTTCAGAGAAAATTTATATTCACCTAGAATTTGAACATTAAAAAAGACAGGATCACTGTGTTGACGCTTCTGGAATTATTCATTTTACTTTCTTGTCAACTTAAATACTATTTAGGCTTTTTAATTTGAGGGTTATCAGACAGGAACTCTGTGAGACTGGTTAATAATGTGAATATTTCTGAGGTTGGACAACAAACGTACCCACGTCAATACTAACGTAGGACCTGCAACGAAACAAGTTCGGTCCAATGTATCACATTTCAAACCACTATGATAAGAGGCAGTCAACAGAATAACAAGTATAGTATAAAATCGAAGGCAGTGAGTATCAAAGCATTAGACAGTTGCAAAGAAACAAATGCAGTTGAAGGGTAGGAATACGCTAATGATGCTTACTCATGATTTGAAGATAGAGGATGCATGTAACTGCACCAGTGCGATGGTTTTCAAACCATGTTACTCAAAATCTCCAATTTCCAAATGAACAACCAAAACATACGAACCAGTACTTAATCACGGACAGTTACCCATAATCTAGTAAGACCCGAGCAAAAGCATTAGTAGATAACGAGAAAAACTACACCAACCCAGTTTTTAGAGAACCAAAAGTAACCCTTACCGAATCCTCAAAGAATAACGTCACACTTCTACATTATTATCTTCAACATTATCAAATGAAGACATCCATGCAGGAAGAGCGGAAGATAACCTTATCGAGGTCCAGATCACAAGCCCCATCGCAGTCGGCTTTCGAGAGAACAATTGCCGTTAATTAGTGATCACGTTACGATAATATTATGGAAACTAGGCCTAATCATATACCCATCTTGATTGAGTATACCATAACATAACTTCGACTAGTGTCTTTTCTAATGTTTTGCAGTTTCCATTACCTTACTTTCCACGGTATTTTTGCCACTCACCTGCTTAGTCATAGATTACTACTTTCATATAATCGAATGTTAGGCTTAACGTCATACGTTTCTGACTGAAATATTTACGATGAAATTATGCGGATAAAGTGGTAGCAGCCGGGGGTCCTACGTAGAATGAGACAAGTAGTGAGACCATCACATAAGCAGCAGACAATTACCTTATTATTAAACCTCGCTTCGCCAGGGTGTAATAACCCAACAAGGCTTGGTACTTCAACATATAACTTACTTGAGTATAAACACGAAATGACTAATCAATAAATGGAGGCATCGCGAACAAAAGCTAGGGTCCTAAACACGGATGCTTTGAAGAAACCTGTACAGTGTACAAGCAAACAAGATGGTACTTTAAAAAGATCTATCTACAGGAAACCCATATGGAATGGCCAGCTATCAAATTTCCACAGTTGGGTTCCAATCAGCCGAAAAAGAAACTTAATAATCTCTCGCCACAATAATACGAAGAATCTGTAGCCCTGAGGTCGTAGAGGAAGAATTGAGTTTTTTAAAAGAGATACTTATCAAAAACGGATATCCTTCTTTATTCATTGATAAGAATATGAAACCGAAAATGCCAAGACCACAAACCACTGCAGTAGAAAAGAAAATTTTATACATGAACATCGACTTCAAAGGCGATAGAGCCGCACATATCTTAAAGAGGAGAATTTCAGATTCCTTAAAAAGAACATTTTTCGCAGCAACATTGCGAATATTATTCTCCAGCCGATCACTGTTCGCCAATAATCTGAAAGATAAATTATCGCATCTGACCAATTCAATGTGCATTTACCAATTTACCTGCTCTTGTGGAGCTAGGTATATAGGTCGTTCGATGCGTACTTTATCCAAAAGAATTCAAGAACATTGTCCGGCGTGGCTAAGAAGAGGAGACAGCGGTTCAATAAGAAGTTCTATAATCGAACACCTTGTGAACACAGGTCACTCAATCAAGACAGACTCTGCGTTCAAAGTCATCTACAAGGTAAGTAGAAACCTTCCTAAGACAATTAGACTACATCTCCTTTGCATTGCCGAGGCAATAGCCATACATTTTGAAAAACCAGAATTATGTGTACAAAAGAGACTGGCACAACCTCTTCTTTTACCGTGGTCTTAATGTATTAAAATTTTTTTCTCTTTCTCATTACTCTTGTTCTTTTACAGCCACCTGCTTCACCTTCCATCTTCCCTTCAACTCTTGTACCCCCAACCGGTTTGTTTTTATTTCAACGATCATTCCGATTACATTTCATCTGTTTCAACATTTTGTTATTTTATCATGCTGCGCTACTCTTACCCGATGACTATCTAAGCCATTATCTATCAAACCTTCCTTGTTTCTAAAATTTTTCTAATACCTTTGTTTATTTAACCTCACTGTCACCATGTATATCATAAGTTTATTATCAGTATTATTATCACCCTGTAAAAATAAGTATATATACTTGCGATTGTACAGCTTTGAAAATGAATTCGCCGAAAAGAGAACTCTTCGCTGAACTAATCTTTCTTTCTTATTTAATGTCAAAATGGGTGTATTCCGTTTATTAAAAAATCTATAGTGATCAACCACCGCACTACATATATATTAACCAAGCGTTCTAGGAATACTTTGTCAAGCTCGACACGAGAACTACATAAGCATTGGCGATTCAGATGTGAAAGAGATGTTAGCATTTCTCAGCTTATATTTTTATGTTAGTAATAATCGTAATAACACTTTTAAGACTGTAGAAAAGACTCGAAATCTTCATTTCAAGAAACATTGTCTCTTTGAAAGACTTGACTCACTGATCGCTAGTAAACGAATATCGGACGATTATAACATAATGAATAATAAGCTTTTCTATTCGAAATACCGGCCATCGTATATAAGTAAAGTAGGTAAGTTACGCATACAATTAACTTGCAACGACAACACAGAACTGTCCGTTATACAAATCGCCAGTTTACAAAGATTAGACACAAAATGGACCCAATTTGTCGATACAGCGTAATAAAAAAAAAACGATTTCTACCATAATTTTATTGTAGGGAATCACAATTATGCGACAACCTTCGCGCGTCCTAGACACTTTTTCAAAGGACCCTAAAATTACAAAGTTTATACACGAATATTTCGAAAGACTAACCATCGTAGCCTGTTTTTCCGCACGAGTCTGGAACCGACCATGACCAAACTTGGATGACGTATCGATAAATTTCAGGACAATCTTCTCTTTTGATCGTGTCTTAACTTGAGGAATCAAGGTTTTCCTAAGTGTTATGACACGCTTCCTAGGACCCATACAGCAACCCTTGATCATGACGTAATCGTTCCTGACTTCACCGTAGTGTGGGAAACCACCCATAGGGGTAATGTTTTTAGCCGTTAAGTCGAACTCTGTGGACGCATTGCCTTTAGGTTTAGGTACTGCATTTTTATCCTTATCATCCTTAGAGGCTTCTGACTTCGCAACCTCTAGTTGAGCTTGTAAACCTACCAGGAAATACAAAATATTTGAAATTTACCCATTCCAATTTTGTAGATCTTCTTGTTTAACTCTGTTCTGTGGAAGTAACCCTTTTGACCAGCCCTAGCAACTGATCTTGCTACACGTGCAGGATGCCACGCACCAATACAAGCTACTTTACGCAAACCTTTGTGGGTTTTTCGAGGAAGCTTTTTGGTGTGCCAGCGAGAAGTAACGCCTTTAAAACCTTTACCTTTGGTGACACCTATAACATCAATCATTTCATCTTGCGAAAACACGTTTGAAACAGATATCTGCTTTTCGAAATGCTGGCGAATCCAATCGACCTTCTGTGAAATAGTCCCACCATTTACTTGGATTTCCATGATATGTGACTTCTTCTGACGATGTTTCATCAGGCGCATCTAGTAGAGTTTAATGAGTATTTATTAGGATTACCTGTGTGTGTGCAATCGCTCGAACAACCGTACAATACTTTTTGATTTTTTTCAGATCACGCTTTATCTGTGCAAGGCCTGCTTCACATAACCATTTCTTTGAAGATTTCAGGAAAGCTCTTTTCTTAGACTTGCACCAATCTTTGTAAAACCGACGTTTGAATTCTTCAGTAAGATGTTCTGCCCAGACAGTCTTAAAAGTCCTTAAACCCTTGGCAGTTGGTGCGTAACCAACCATCCCAACGATTACCATAGGTGGGCACTCCATTATAGTTACTGGTTCAACAACCTCACGCTTATGAACCTTGGATCCAGGTCGATCAACTTCACGAACAATGTGAGTCATTCCTGCTTTATATCCCATGAAAGCAGTCAGATGAGGTGGAAGAGATCTTCTGTCCCGTGGGAATGCCTTGCATTTCCCTCGGATGCGTCGACAACGCTTTTTAGGTGTAAACCCGAGAGAACCATGACGCGGAGCAGAGAATTTCCTGTGTGACTACAAAATGATGAACGGATGACAACAAGCGACTTACCATGTCCCGAACACGCTATCTGTGAGCGCCAATCAGCAGACAAAAACAAATTTGCACAATATTGAATTTTGTCCAATGTACCCACGAATTGACTTTTGAATCTTAGAAACTTGATAGTTTCAGAGATATTCTGTCAGTTATCCTAAATTCCCCCTATCTTTAAAGTACCCTTTCTGAACAACTTGCCTTTAACTGTTGTGTGCTCAAAATGTACACTTGAAATTCTTCAGTCTGGAACCTTCACTTAAAACATGCAAGTAAGAGTTAGCATTCATTTACTGTTGCTTGGTCACTACTACGGAAGACAAAATGAGTAACTGAATTGCTACTTATCTTGGTTATGTCTTATTTAACCACATCCATGTAGCACTGTGATCAGTGAAATTTTAATAACATGAACTGCTCGTTACCTTTTACCACAAGATGTGTGATCTTATAGGAGTTTGATGAGTACAAATCAAAATTCGAAGGACTAGGAATTAAGCTTTCAGACGATGCTTTCTAACGAAGCTAGTCGACGAAATTAGAGCACCTTCGGTGCACCATAACTTCGTCTGGAGTCCCTCCGGGAGCTACTACAGTTCTCAAGCCCGAAGAGAGGAGAAGGGTTGGGTATGGGATTAGTGACCCCATCCTGTAAAAAAAACTCGCTGAAAAACGCTAATCGAAAAATCCTCTCACCCTTTATCTTTCTCCTGGTGATCGACTGGACCATGAAGACGTCAACATCTGAAGGGAAACACGGGATACGGTGGACATCTAGGATGCAGTTGGACGATCTAGACTTCGCACATGATCTGGCCCTTCTATCCCAAATGCAGGAGAAAACAACCAATGTAGTAGCAGTCTCGATAGCAGTAGATCTCACTATACACAAAAAGAAAGACAAAATTCTCCGATACAACACAGCATGCACCAATTCAATCAAAATTGGCGGAGAAGATTTGGAAGATGTCAAAACCTTTGCGTATTTGGGCAGCATCATTGATGAACACGGTGGATCTGATGCAGATGTGAAGGCGCGGATCGGCAAAGCAAGAGCAGCATATTTACATCTGAGGAACATCTGGAACTCAAAGCAACTGTTAACCAACACCAAGGTCAAAATTTTCAATACAAATGTCAAAACAGTCCTACTGTATAGAGCGGAAACCTGGAGAACTACGAAAGCCATCATCCAGAAGATGCAGATGTTTATTAACAGTTGTCTACGCAAAATACTTCAGATTCATTGGCCGGACACTATTAGCAACAACGTACTGTGGGAGAGAACAAACCAGATGCCAGTGGAGGAAGAAATCAGGAAGAAGCGCTGGAAGTGGATAGGACACAAATTGAGGAAAGCACTAAACTGCGTCAGTCAAATAGCAACGGAAATGAGGATATACAACTTAGCAGTACTGAGAATCAGCGAAATCCACTGGACTCAAGCTGGACAGAAAAGACTAGCTGCGGGGGAGATGCTTCTATACTCCGGTCACGAAGAGGAAAATGCTCCACACACTCAGGGAGTCGCCCTACTGCTGTCCAAAGTTGCACGAAATGCACTTGTACGATGTGGATCTCACTGATCCAGAATCATCAAAGCGTCATTCAAAACAAAGAAGGAGGGGATCACAATGAATATTATCTAATGTTATGCACCCACCAATGATAGCAACGACGACATTAAAGATCAATTCTACGAGCAGCTGCAATCAATCATAGAGAATTGCCCAAGAAAGGACCTCACCATTCTGATGGGAGATCGAAATGCCAAAGTTGGAATAGACGACACCGGATATGAAGATATTATGGGACGACATGGACTGGGACAGAGAAACAAAAATGGAGAAAGATTTGCAAATCTATGTGCATTCAACAATTTGGTCATAGGGGGCACAATATTTCCACACAAACTTATACACAAAGTTACATGGATCTCACCGAACCACACTACAGAGAACCAGATAGATCATATTTACATCAACAAAAAATTCCGAAGTACAGTGGAAGATGTGAGAACCTGGAGAGATGCTGACATAGCTTCAGATCACCACGTAGTTGTAGCCAATATAAAACTGAAGCTAAAAAAGAACTGGACAACTGGACAAACAGCACTACAAAGGTTCAATACAGCCTTCCTTCGAGGAACTGACAAACTTCAACGTGTCAATAGGTTCTGGGCCTAAAGAAACACCATCATAAGGAATGGACCTCTATAGAAACACTGAACAAGATCAAAGAAAGGAAGAACAAGAAGGCAGCAATTAACAACAGCCGAACACAAGCAGAGAAATTCCAAGCACAAGCTGAATACACGAAAGCAAACAAGCAAGTGAAGAGGAGCATTAGAGCCGACAGGAAGAAATACGTGGAAGAATTAGCAACGACGGCAGGAAAAGCTGCTAGAGAAGGAAATATGAAACAGCTTTATGGTACAACGAAGAAACTAGCAGGGAAATACAGTAAACCAGAGAGACCGGTCAAAGAAAAAAAAGCAGGCCAATCACTGAAATTCAACAACAGCGGAACAAATGGGTAGAATACTTCGAGGAACTCCTGAATAGGCCGACTCCAATGAATCCACCGGACATTGAAGCAGTACACACATCTTCCCATAGACGTCAACCCACCAACGAAGGAAGAAATCAGAATGGCCATCAGACAAATCAAGAGCGGGAAAGCAGTGGGACCCGACAACATACCAGCTGAAGCACTGAAGTCATACATCGAAGTAACTACAGACATGCTTTACTTTTTATTCAAAAAGATTTGGGCGGAGGAACAAGTGCCGATGGACTGGAAAGAAGGGCACCTCGTCAAGATTCCAAAGAGAGGAGATCTGAGCAAATGTGAAAACTACAGAGGCACCACACTACTGTCAATACCAGGGAAGGTCTTTAACAGTGTTGCTGAATCGGATGAAGGATGCAGTAGACGCCCAACTTCGAGATCAACAAGCTGGACCCCTTAAGGATCGGTCGTGCAAAGACCAAATTGCGACACTACGGATCATCGTCGAACAATCAGTTGAGTGGAACTCGTCACTATACATCAACTTCATTGATTATGAAAAGGCATTTGACAGTGTGGATAGGAGGACGTTATGGAAACTTCTTCGACACTACGGAGTTCCTGAGAAGATTGTCAATATTATCCGGAACTCATACGACGGACTACAGTGCAAGGTCGTGCATGGAGGACAGCTGACAGGTGCATTCCAAGTACGGACCGGAGTCAGACAAGGGTGTTTACCCTCTCCCTCTTTCTTCTGGTGGTCGACTGGATTATGAGGACCTCGACATCTGAAGGAAAACACGGAATACAATGGACAGCTCAGAACCAATTAGACGATCTGGACTTCGCAGATGACCTAGCCCTCCTATCGCATACACACGAACAGATGAAGACAAAAACAGCCAGTGTAGCAGCAGTCTCTGCATCATTAGGCCTCAGCATACACAAAGGGAAAACCAAGGTCCTCAAATTCAAAGCGGAGAACAGCAATCCAATCACACTTGATGGCGAAACTCTGGAAGATGTAGAATCCTTCACATACCTGGGAAGCATCATTGATTAACAAGGAGATTCAGATGCTGACGTAAAGGCAAGGCAAAACAAGGGTCGCATTCCTACAATTAATGAACATATGGAACTCAAAACAACTTTCAACTAATATCAAAGTGAGAATCTTCAATGCCAACATCATGGCAGTTCTACTGTATGGAGCTGAAACTTGGAGAACTACAACAACCACCATCAAGAAGGTACAAGTATTTATAAAAAGCTGTCTTCGCAAGATACTCAACATCCATTGGCCGGATACCATCAGCAATAGCCTTCTGTGGGAGAGAACAAACCAGCTTCCAGCTGAAGAGGAAATTCGAAAAAGTCGATGAAAATGGATAGGACATAAATTACGCAAATCGTCAAACTGCATCACGAGACAAGCCCTAACTTGGAATCCTGAAGGGAAGCGGAAAAAAGGAAGGCCAAAGAACACATTACGCCGAGAAATGGAGACAGACATGAGAAAAATGAAGAAGAATTGGATGGAACTAGAAAAGAAGGCCCAGGACAGAGTGGGTTGGAGAATGCTAGTCGGCGGCCTATGTTCCATTAGGAGTAACAGGTGTAAGTAAGTAAGTAAGTTCGGTGCATCATGTGAAGAATGTAAAAAGCAATGAACTCACTTGAAAAACGATACTCAGGTCTCTGAAATGTTCCAAAACTCAGCAAAGGTTACTAGGTGATGTTGTTCCTCATTGTTCAGATTCCTTTCAACAGTTGCTTTTACTACTGTCATACATGCATTGAGGGTATTTATTGAAAGGTTAGTATACCTTCAGTCTTCGAAACATTAATTAGCCGAATCAGCATTTCTTTTGAAATTATTTTATGGCAGTAATCAAGCCTGATTTAAGTATAAAACCCACAAAGATAGGGTCAAAGCCATCAGATTATTTTATGATGTTTTAGCGAAACAGTAAATCAGCAAAGACACAACCAAAATTAACAAATGTACGACTAACTACCGAGCTAATCATGCAGCTAACAACCTTTGTAGTAGAATATAAATTTAGTTCAGGTAAAGTCTAACGGACTATTCGAAATAAGGAGATCCGATTTACCGTATTTTCCTTCCATATATTGTTTCTACATTCTCCCACCGTAGACTATGCTCGGTTATTTTCGGTTTGGTGATTTCCTTTTCCTTAGGCTTTTATGGAGTTGATTTGGGTTTATTAGCACATGTCGCTTTCGTTTTCAGCTTAACAACCTTGAGTTTGGAGTCAACAATTTTCATTATTGGCCGCTTTGAAGCTACAAGATGCATTCCCATCCTTATTCCCAACTCGTACAAAAGCACCTTTCCCGACACCAAGTACACTGCAGCGGAGAATATTTTGTGCTTACTTCTCAACATTAAACCAGTAATCCGAGACAATGTATTTGTTCATGGTAGCAAGTGGGCTGCCCTCACGATCTTTAGCCGCCAGACTTACTGCTGTAACCATGTT